ACCTAATTTTATTCATTTCCATTTTATTGATTCAGGTATCAAATGAACGAACCGCTTGATATTGCTCTTACTGTATCGTAATTTATATAATTCAGTTTTTTCTCTCGATTTCAACCTTTCTCACCTCTGCAGCACCAGTTGTGTCGGCATACCCACCATATTGTAATTATCTGCCCCGGACATAGCTGCACACATTATTATACGAATAAATATCCTTTCTCAGTGAGAACAGAATTAAAGAAAACATCATAGCACTGCTGCCCAACTTATCTGAGGCCAAATAGCTTAGTGATTTCGGACGGAATGCTAGTGGTTTACTTATAGCGAACATTTGAGATTTGATTCAATACTCAACCTCTAACCGTTATTTAGTACTTGTTTCAAAGCGGAGATAAGTATTTACATGTCTTCATGTTGGAAAAAATATGCATTCACGTGCAGATAGCTCACTGAAACGTTAACCAAAGAAAGTAACTTGAATTATCACTACTTTATGCCGCTGAAAAATTATTGTATCGGAAGGTATCGCTACAAATTTCCGCTATTTGACGAAAATAACGGGATATCGCGCTGCCGAAGAAAGTAGCTCCGTTAGTAACGGAATAACGGAAAAGCGCGCTATTGCCCATCTACGACGAGATTATTTTTATTATATCGAGGATTAGTTATGTTCCTGTTTCTGCTACGCTCATTTCATCATTCATGTTCATAAAGTTTCTCTCAATTCTGAATAGAAAATTCGATGTGCTGCTTTAAAATTTCCGATGAGATATTTTTCAGTGTTATGCGATTACTGTTTTCTGAGTTGAAAATGCGTGGCTTCCGATATGCCATATGCCTTCACATGACGCATCGCGCAAACCAGTGACCTGTCGTCATAACCTGTCGTTATGTGAGGAATGTGCTCTTAATTGTACAAATGTCAAGTTACGAAATCGCTCGCATAATGTGACAACTGAAAGCTATAATTGGATGTGATTGTTGAATTGTTTGGTGTGAGAACTCAAATGATATTATTCGAATAGTGGATGGAGATTTTTGGTGATAATGGTAACAGTATTTATAACGATGGAAATTGAGTGATAATGTCCTAGGTTCTATAAATATTTATAGCGTCCTATAAATATCATCACCTAGCAACAGTTAATCACAATGTAAATTTTATCTTTTTTATCTGTAATGAAGTTTCCTTTTACATAGAAATTTTTTATACTGACTATGAGTAAATTATTCGCTAACAAATAGCGAATAATTTACTCCAGATATGTTTGAATCTACTTCAAGGACGATCAGATTCTCTATAAAATCCAACTGAAAATGTCCCAATTTCGTAGTAATGGGGAATACAATGCAGTTCTTCCCAGTGTGAACAAAACCCCCAAAATGGCTTTTCAGTTGGGCTGGAAGATAAAAAGTTTGGTTTTCAGAAATGGTGGGAAAAACGAAGGAAATTTTCGAAGTTTTCAAATATTGACAGTCATAACATAGAGATACGACCTTATCCACTTTCCGTCCGATTAAACTTCAGCCGCATTTAACTACGGCCTTTTAATTCACCAGCCATGTTCTACTTGAAGTGCAGATAAGGCTGGCATAAACCTATGCTTCCGAATTGAGTGGATATGCACTAAACCAACATGCGACACAAATGTTCCCGACTAAAGTGTGCCATTCTAGGTATATGCTTCGATAGTCAGTTGGAAGGACGTTGAATGATCCGTTTAAATATTTGATTTATTGCGCGATATTTCTGCAATCATTTGAACGGTAGGCGTCTTATGTCTGTGTATAAACTGAAACAGTAATATGTCGGATCGATTCGAGAAATCGTTGATGAACTGTTTGTTTCATATGATATTCACGTTGCTTGTTTTTTAAGCATCGAGAGGTTTCTTTTCAGTATTGAATTATTCCCATCATTAGCCGTATCTGTCATTGATATGAATTCATGAATCTATTCAGCGAATTTGCTTTGCGCATCGAAAAGACTGTTGATTTGATATGTGTCATTCGAGGATGCTTTAAAATTTGGACAATTAGATTATAAGAGCTGCTTTCAAGCTGAATCGGTTCATGAAATTAAGTAATTTCAGTCAACGGATTGATAAACATCAGCATAACAACGAGAAAATAGAAAATGAAAATTGAGAAGAGAAGAAGATCGCAGATTGATTGGATGGATGTATTTTTGATTATACTCTTCGTAGTCATGGTAGTGTTTCATTCCAAAAATATTCGTTTCTTTTGTGCGGAATTGGAAATAAAAGCCTTTCAGTCTGAACATTTGACGAATTGTACACTCAGTTCAATGCAAAAACCATTCTAATCTTTCATTTCAGAGATGCTTGAAGAATCTGACATTCATTCTCATCGATTAATTAGTAAATTCAGAAATGGACATTACGTAGATGTAAATGAAAGTTTTCAAGTGAATGAAACAATGAACTTTCATGGGAAAAATTCTGTCTTTTTTTGTCAAGAATTGATAAGTACCTTTAAAAATTGTTAGGACAAAACTCTATCAACTGCCCGAATGACGGCATATGAACGTTCGTAAATTAAGGCACATGCAACTTCATTTATGCACATTTCAAAGACAACAAAATTCTTTACTTATGAGAACAATCGAACAGTCAATCGCTTAGTCAATTTCCTTCATAATCGAATGCATTTTCTTTGTTGATTGTGAGTAAATGCACTTCTTTTCTGCCTGAAATGAGTGAACCAAAAACGTTCCCCTTCTGACGAGAATCCTGTGATCTCACTGGAACGTTTTTGAATGCCACGAGCATGCTTGATGTATTTCGTAAATGCTTGATTCAGTACAAAGAAACAAGTTAAGCAAAAGACATCGACCGCTTCAGTGCACATACGCATAAAAGGACGTATGTTTGCATTTGCATGAAAAGTCTGTAATAAAAAATCATATACCCATTAGCGATTCATTTAAGAAGGTTTATCATGGATTTGTAAGCATCCATCTATGCATTTGGTAGTTTATTGAGGAGTTGATGGTGGTTAAAAAAAGAGGTTATGGTTACGGAGTGGTGCACTTTCCAGCTAATAAAGTGAACATTAGGCAATTCTTTTGTTTTTTTTAAACGTAATAATCGACATCTTTTGATTGAAGTATTGCAGCGCCTCCTCGTTGGAATGCTCTTTAAGTGAATGAAAACAAAGATATTTCGGATATGTTCACCTCAGTGACTAATTCATACTGTTTATTGCCATTCCTTAAGAATGGATTATTTACGATTCAGTGATCTCAGCGTTCAGCATTCAACGCTGCTGAACATTCACTAGTAGGCTGTTCTGGTTCAGAATCAACGAGAACGCAGACAAGAGCGAATCTGGCCTTTGAAATATGTTATCGTTAGATCAAAACATGAAGAGTTAAAAGACAAAACAGATTTTAGATGTGCTTAATTTGAACTATTTATTCATAGCAACATTCCTGAATGCAAATAACACTGATGAAGGAAGCATACTGCAGCGTTTCTCGAGTGACCATATCACTGAAACGTATCAGTTACTAGAAATATTCGAATGCGCAATATTCTCTGTAGTTGACTGAGAACTTTCAAACACCACGCATAATTATTATCATGTCGTCCTATTATTTAACTCGAACAGATATAAGTTTTAGTTACTANTCACTGCATAAATTTCGTTCGCAACATTTTTTACCTCCGTAATCGACGGTCACCTGTGACGAGTATCTTATTTTTCTCTTTTTTGCTTTTCAACTTAACATACGTTTTGCCAACTCTACCTTCTTTGTGAAATGTTGACCATTTTTCAGTTCTGACATCATGATTAAATCATGGAATCGCATTTCAATCCCGAAAATAAGCAACAAGTTCAGAGAAGTATAGAAATTTAACAGATTCTTTTGGAATCAATGCATTCGTAATTTTTTGAAAAGTAATTCATTTAACAAATCCCACAGGTAAGAGGGCTAAGGAAACAGAACATTAATACTACAGCAGAAGTACAATTCAGCTATAACAAATTTGTTTCCTGGGAATAATTGCAACTTTTCATTTATCTACATTATATCTAAAACAAAGCCACAAATATTCCTAGTAAGTCAACATTTTTTAGAATGTCGCAAAAATTTAAAAATCACTGAAATTGTTTTGCACAGATATCACAATCTCAATTTAAATTTAAAAATTTCAAAGAGTTGAAACTGAATTGTTGTCAGTTTAGAATAATCCTCACCAACACTGTAACAAAAAATCGGAATTAATATTAGCATTTCAAAACAAAAACGTTCAGAGAATTCAGTTCCGTGAAATCTCATGTAAACTCTGATGAGTGGAGTCAGAGCGTTGAGTGTTGAATCACTCATTCTCGTTCTCACAAACACAAAAACCCAAAGAGAAAATGTAAAGTGAGCTCGTTCACTTCCAACGCTTTTCGGTGGAATCGTTTTACAAAGTTTGATCAGTTTTCCATATTTGCAGCCTGCATCTTCGTTCTTTCGTACAACTGCATTTCGAGGATTAATATGCGCTTCACATCGCTACATTTATTGCAAAACAGATTTTAGCATTGCCTTTTTTGACGAAGTGATATCATATTCATTCACATTCTGAGTTGAATCAATTGCCATCAATGGGTTCAGCTCGAGTACATCATCATTTTCACTGTTCGTAAAAATAAGCGTCGAAGATCAATTCTATATCATGTCATATTTAATTACAATCACGAAATCTCGTTTTTTTTTCAGAACATGAATTCCGGGACTGGTCTGGATACATGGACCCGTACAAATACTGCCAATACCAAAAAAATCCCAGCTATCTGTTTGCCCACGATGGACTTCAAAAGTGACGTTCATCATAACCTAGCATATAGATAAGAGAGATGGTAAAGCCACACCCCTTCCGAGATCGGTTAAAATGGTGAGGAAATGTTTGTTTTAAAAGCACATTTGATAGGATTGAAGTCTTTTGATCGAGTCATAACTTGTCAGTGCTGCTGTTTCATTGAAGATGTCTTCACAATCCAGCGTCACGTATCAAAGGTCACAGTTCACAGCCATCAGCTTCTTACTCTTGATTCTTATTGTCGATTATTCGTATTCATTTCCAACGATTGATGCGTCCAATGATGAACTTCTTGAAAGCTATGAATTACCGATGAAAAGCAAACGGCTCAGTAGACATGCGCTCATCAAATTGATTCTGCAGAGGTCAGTACTTCAACGATTATTCTATGGTTTGAATTGATTTCAGTTCTTGATTTTCGATTCTTCTCATTTTCGGAGACGAAAAAAACTTTTATTAACAAAGCTTATTCACTAGTAAGCAATCGGATAAAATTTCACACTTTTACGAATTTTTTTTAAAAGTACACGAAATGTTCCAGTTAGCTCATCTGTTCCTCGTTAGAAGACAACAAGAGTCAATAGGTTTCCACACATTTTGATGCCTCCGGTTAGGAATTACTGCATGTTGTTGGGCGCTTATAGAAGTTGCGAATTGACGGATTTTTTTCGGCGGCTATCGACAAGCTCAATTTTGAGCGTCAATCGATTTCGATCAGTGGCCATTGAAGTCCGGTTTCCAGAGGCTGTCGACCAACCGATCACTTTTGGTTTCGGTCGGTGGATTCGATAGTCGGTCTTCGGTGGCCACCGGCTGAAATTCAGTGGCCATCGATTTTCAGTGCCAATGACAAACACCGAACAATGGCAGAACGTGGCTGTTGGTCGATGGCCACCTAAGAGGATCTTTTTGCGATCCTAGGCAGTCGCTAACCAACCCAACTATACTGCGTACGCAATCGTTTTTTGTTAAGCAACACTTGAACGAGAAGATTCAAAAAGTGATGGATTATAGCGAAAACTATTCTTGTGTTCCAAAAGTACTGCGGAAATAAACAAGAAGAGATACTGTTTTTAAAAGGGATGAGAAAACAGCAAGTAACTGCATCAGATTTCTATTGTGAAATTACTTCTAGAGATAACTTCTTCTACTTTTTCCCATCGTAGTTAGCTGAATTAGAATGCTATCATTTGAACGTCAGTCCCAGCATAAATTTCTATGCAACTCTACAATGTTCCGAAAATGAAAAAGAAACAATTTCCAAACAGAGGAACAATGCTCTGGTGCCTTCAGCTGGAAAATTGAATCAGTTGTAGTGAAATTACTTGGTGACTAGTGCAGGAATGAGCGACAAAGTAAGCGGTAAAAGATGAGCACAAAATATTCGTGTAATCAAAAACTAATTATTTCATGCCACTGTCGGTAATATGTCGGCTGCGTTAACAATCGTTTTGCTCAGTTTTGTTGCGAGTTAACCTTGGTGAAGTTGAAGGTTATGCCACAAGCAGAAATGACCGATAATGTTCAAATAGTGAAATGAACCACTGTCCGAGCCCCTACTAAAAACTCACTGAAGTCATTCATGAGGTATGCGTTGCGATGGTTGAGCAACAAATATATTTCCGTACATCTTTAAAACACTAATTTCCATCTTAGTAATAGTTTCCTCTTCAAGATAAAAGTGCTCTTTTCTGATCGAAAGCATTCCACATGTTATGCTATAACGCAAAAACCACCACCTTTTTTTGCAGCCAGGTATTGCTCACAACTGCACTGTTCATCTTCAGAAACGCAGGTTTATATTGTGCAAACAATTCATTTATCACACCCACTGAACTAATCATTCAAAACTAAGCCATGATTGACAGCTACTAAACATTGCTTGAGCAAAGGTCAAGTAAATCGACAGGAGAGGTGATAGATGCTTTTAGGTTCGAGTAAAGCAAGCAAAGGTGAGCTGAGTCATATGGACGCCTCCCAGTTCTTTTGAAGGATTGGACATTAATGTAAGATTGCTAGTTATAAGTTGATGATAGTGTTGGTTCCACAAACCTTTCACATATGAAGCACATGATGGTGAGTTGATCAGGATATCTGATGAACAGTACTGTTCACAAAACCATCAAATGCGCAATTTTTACTCTTTTATTCAACATTTCGCGGTTTCACATCGCCATCAAGACGTACATTGCGAGTGTTCAAAGAACAAAAAATTAACCTTTACGTACAAAGTTATCCTAGAAGTCCCACGTAAATTCACCGTTCAACAGCAAAATGTAAAGTAGATGAATATTCGAAATGATATGTATTATGGTGATATTCAAATTTACTTAATTATGCATAGCAGTAGCATGACGAATGCAGGATAACAATGAATGTTGAATGAGCGGGCACAGAAAAGACGTCATATATGTTATGGTATTGCTATTAATGTTATCATCATTTACATCATCAATAATTAGTAGTTTGGGAAACACTACTATATTCAGTGAACGTACGCATATGTGTGAATACATAAGTGGAATGTGATCTTGTTATCTTCGTTGATCACATCTCTTATTTATTCAATTCAGTCACCGTGACTACTCATTGGTGACAATATGAGAGAAACTGTTTTCTGAGCTCAGTAGGGTTGGGAACCGATGAATTCGTTCGAACGAATACTCTTTGGTGAGTATCGAGATTTGATGAACCCCGACGAAACGAATTTTAAGTGCTAGCTGGTTTCGATTGGTGGCTACCAACAGAAATTTTGTTGGTCATCGGCCCAACCGTATGGCTCACTGATAATTCCAAGGGAAAAAATGAGTTGTTCGTTGCGTGAGTTCCATTCGCTGATAAGCGGTAACCAATATGTTTAGACGATCCTTTCCGATCGGTATTTGCTGAATTACTCTGGTAACAAACATTAGCTGATGATAGTGGAGATGGCATCCGACCGACGGTTGCTCGAAAAAATCCGATAACCTCAGTCGGAATTCCGACTGTCGGAAATTCAAAATGTCACTTCCGTTGGATTCCGACCGAACAATTCTGACAGTTGGTCGGAATGCAGACCGACATGAAATTTCGCTCGGATGCCATCACTAGCTGATGATAATGGTGTACTCCTTCAGTTAGCATGATTACACATGTCAGCTTATCGATAGTGATAAAATGGTAGAAGGATTCATCATTGGAAAGCTTTGATCCAACACTCGAAGTTGACTATAAAAGGAAAATTAATTGCAATTTGAGGAAGTGTAGATTGGCGAATATGAAGAGAAAGAGGAAATGAATTGCAATTGGGTAGAAATATTTAACATGACGCAACATCGCTTCCTAATTGTAAGGCAGTTGCGCACGCTAGCGTTGTGCAGGGAAAGAAAAATAAATCGGAGACGGGGAGAGTCGGGGATATTTCGGGGACGGATAGAGTCCCCGAAAATGGTCGCCGCTCGAGAATGGTCGGGGACGGGGACTTGGGGGCGGGGAGTTTCGGGGAGAAAACTCAATCCTATCTCCGTCTCCAACTTCCCGGAACTTTCCGAAGATGTAACTTTGGAACTAAAGTCAGCAGGACCTTGAAAACATGATTTTTTGATGGAAAAACATTGAAATAAGTGATCTTCAGGCTAGAAAAGCAATAACAGCAAAAACGCAATGCAATTTTATTAACAGTATTTTATCAAGTCACATGAGAAAATAGTTTTTGAAAATAGCAAAATTGTTGAAAAAAATAACAAAAATAGCAAAAAAGTAGCACAGCTAATAGAGTTTTTAGAGTTTAGCAAAAAAATGCAAAAAATGGAGTTTTTGAAAAAATAGCAAAATAATAGCAAAATTTCTTTGAGAATACACGCTCTACTCCTGCAGTTTTCTAACCTATGCGGACATATTACGTGCCACCGTGAAGGTCTCGAAATATTCCTAATCGTGGGAAGGAATTAACACACGGATTCATGAACTCATAATTTCGTTGAATTTTGTTGCTCTTGCTTTGCATTAGAAAATGTGATTATCTCCATTAGTCTACATAGAAATGCATCCAGATGAGTGTGACATAAACTAATGAAGAGNAAAGTTCATCAAGCTGTTATTGATCACGCCATTCATCTGACTTGCATCAATTTCCTTGACTATTCATCAATGATAGGTGGCAAACAACAAGGATGACTGCATACGAATGAGTTGGGAACGATTAAGGCTTCCTTTAAGATGGAGGCACCATCAAAATTAATGCAAATTGACCTGCTTTATCAAATCCCGAGATCCCAGGATTTTTCAAAGCTTAAATCCCGGGGTCGGGATCAGAACTGAAGTCCCGGGATCCCCTGTAAACCCTGGCTGAGACAGGATGGTAGTGGGGCCTTGTAGGCAAACATGCGAGCAAAGATCGAATATTCAACTTCGAATTGCTCGCAAGGGCGCGGTATATTCGAATTCAATTTTTTTCGGGGAGTTTCGGGGAGACTCCTCGAAATTTCCGGGAAAGCCGACAATTCTGGAGAAGTTGGAGACGGGGAGAGTCGGGGACATTTCGGGTATGGGGAGAGTCCCCGAAAATGGCGCCGCTCGAAAATGGTTAGGGACGGGGATTCAGGGACGGGCTTCCCGAATTCGGGAACTCCCCACACAACACTAGTGCACACACAAACTGAAAATGAATTCGATTCTCTTCCGTCGTTGGCTTAAAATTATTGCAAACGCAGCTCTTTCGACGGAGTGTGTTGGAACATGGCAGCATCTTGCTTCTGGAATTGTTGTGTATGCAGTTTGTACGCAATTTGTGTATGCAGTTTGGAGCTCAGGCACCCATTAGGGCTATCAAATTCAAGCAGAAGCTGTCTAAATGAACCCGAGCTCACACTGAACGGTCAAGGACGACTAACCATACAGCAGTTGTTTTGTACGAGTTGTTAACGAAACAGTATGAACGAACCTGTGTCGACACTTTTCCAATTCTCCAACTGGAAAAGTGAGGGCATAGGTTCCCCCATGCTATGCAATGGATAATTCTTATCCAGCACTTGCGTTTAGGAATCTGCCTGCAGTTACTGATAATAAGCTCACATTTGGGAATCGTCGCTTTTCGATGAACCCTTTTTTCACACGTATCACCGTAGCCGTACTGATACAGGAAGGGTTTTTCGAGGCATGAATGAAGAGTCAGTTTTTTCAGGCATTGAAATTTACACTTTTTGAACATTTTCCCAACATTGCGAATCATTTGCAAAAAAAAACAACTGGCAAAGCGACGAGATTAGTTCATATCTGGATTTCATGCATAAAATTGCTTTGTGTAATTTTTGTTGCATAATGTTATTATCTTCATAATGTTGCATTATATTATTAATGAATAATGAAACAAAATAAAGAAGATTCGTTCAGAAATGATCGCAACTCACTACCGGCTCGTATCCAACGCCGGAGTATGTCGATGTTTCCCTCTCTGGATCGTCGCGCATTCGACACTGCTGATGCCGATTTTCAGAATTGCTTCTTATCACCTGTTCAGTGCATGCTACCGAGAATGCGTAGACGATAAGCGATGAGCCGCCAATATCAAACCACTTTAGTTCTTCATCAATGCATCACTCAACAATGATCATCAAGATTTCGATTCATCAGCAGATTGTCACCAAATTAAATTACTCATCAATATGTTTAAATTTTATTAAAGCACTTGATTTTTTGGGACAATTAGTTTCCATCATTCGTTGCGATTAATTGGTGTTTTTGGGTTGTTTGTCATATATGGTACCAATCGATCCTGTTAAATCATGAAATCTGAGCGTCTGCATATGAAGATGGAAAATAAACCTTACCACGGAATCTCAGTGACCAGAAACGTTATGTGTTTTCAAAGGACGATGTTTTTGCCACATTTCATCAAATGTCTGATTTTCTTCAGAAGAAAAAATTTTTTTGGAAATGGAACGAAAAGTTGAGAATCATTCAATCGTAAGTATGGAATGCTCATTGGATACTATCGAAAATATGAATACTCTTCATAGGGAACATCGTTGGCATTCTCAGGCTTGCGATATGGCACGTACTTCACTTAACGAAATTACTACTCAATGCAAGTATTTGATGTGCTGCGAAGTATATGCAATCGTCGTTGATCTAATTTGACTACAGTTTGGCTATTTTGTGAATGTGACCGTTCAATAAAGTCATTATTTGTTTCCTTTTCTTGCTTCAATGAAGTTGAAATCTTGAGGAGAGCACATCAAATGAGAACTGTTGAAGTAAATGAAACGATCAAAGTCGCGAATCTAAACTGAAATAAACCTGAATTAAGAATTTTAAGATAAGTTAAAATGAGATCAATTTATACGAAATGGAAAATGTTCCATAATCACAGAAGATGAATGTGCAGCGAAAACTCGATAATATCTGGGGTAAACGATTATCGGCTATTCTCCAAAGGGTACTCTAAGTTTCTAGTTCTTAGTTGTACCATCGTATCAAGAGGTTTTAAACTTAACAAGCGCAACTTTCTCAAACGTTTAGTCCCGTTGAAGCTTTCCGAATGAATGAAAGAATGGCTTCCTGATCATCGCAACAACTGTTTCCAGTGCTGATGAAAAATCTTGGCAGAGCATTTTATATCGCTGCAACAAAAGTTTCATAAGCACTTGCATGCATGTGATTCACCATTCACGATGTTGGTAGATGTCGGCATGTGGTCATCTATATAGAATGGCTACCTAGAGGTACTACTGAGATTCACTAGTCAACTTTGACATTCCCACCAATTCCATAATCTTAAATAATTTTCTGAAACGGTATCAGCACTATAAAACTGCCACTCGCAAATAGAAAGGACTGTTGTTTTGGCCTCATTCACTGGAATGTGCAATCTTTTGGAGCGTTCCTGGACTTCATATAAGACCGCTTCTGAACATGACTGAAGGCAACTGTAGCAGGCATCAAATCAAAATCGGTAATCATTTTGATTTCAATGCCAACATGAGAAGAAGAATGCCATCAAATCGGTTGGTGTTCAGTTCGAATGGGGAATATTTGAAACGTGGAGCGTTAGCAATCGTATGAATTTTTAGGTAAGAGTTGGAAAATCGAGTATTTGGGTATGAACGGAGTCTAAACTGTTTTGCCAGTGGCTCAGTCAAACAGATTGAAGCCAATTCATCATTGAGCAAGTGTGATTTATCGTTTTGCAAACGCACGCTTACCATCTAATCAAATAATCTTCGTTTGAAGCCGAAACTGAGCTGAAATTATAACAGCTTCGTAGTGAGGATTGCTTTTACTTGCAATGAATATTTCTCTTGTGTGAGCATCTGATCTGCATTGCAAAGGGTTGAAAAATAAGAAACGAAGTGAATCTTTTGTATTCATTAGTTAAGAATTCAGTTCGAGTCTCGTATTCCTTCAGTGTAACCTGTTCCCCGTGGTTGCTATGGAGAACTGCGAGAATTTATTAGGAACTTTTCAATAGTGTTGAACGAATGTAGCCTTCACTTGACTAACACTTCCTTCTGAATTCATATCGCTCCAAAACCTCTCATAATCATGATGCTTACATTTCGAACATCGTATCCAGGCTCCAACTGGTGCTGAAGCTCTCGCACTAATTTTCAGGAAATAAACTGTTTAGGAATCACGAAAGAGTTTGGTTTTGGAAAACGAAGTATTTTTGAATTAAATTTCAGCATTTTTTTCACAGACATGCTTCTCAGAGAGTTACTGAGGAAAACACAGGTGGAACTATAGTGCAGTGGTTTTCACACTCATGAATTCCATTACACGCTTTGACAGTCTGGCATGTCATCATTACTCTCCTTCTTCCACGGCCGCTACAAGAACTCATTATTTCCATGGATACAATCTCGGAAAANGGTTGAAAACAGCAACATGCCAAAGTATCTAATTCAAGAATATAAAACAATAATTTGCTAATTGCAATCCCAAAACACATCCACCGCAGCAGAATACACATTTGCCACAAACCAGTTATCTGGTCTCTATTACTGCAAGACACAATAATAGAGACGAGTTTTGACGTGAACGAACCGCGTTTAGATACCCATGTGAAAAAACATCAAAATGCCATTTCATCGTAAAATAACAGACGCGGGAAATATTAGTTTGTCGACCCTCCGCACCAATTAAACTTCTGACAATCCCAAACTACTGCCAGGAGGTAATCATCCCCTTATGAAAGGCACTGCTATAGCATGACAAATATTACACAAGTTTCACGCTGTACATGTACAATTTAAAGATTTGAAATCCAGAAACCAATTTTCGGAATCTTTAAGAAGTCATCGATTGAGTGTGTCTAATTTTTTGGTGAAAACAAAGCTTACAGGGAATCAAAATCAGACTAGTATACTAGATCAGAAATCATCAGTAATACAACAGTGATCATCATTCAGATGTTGCTTTCCAAATGTGAGCTTGTGAACGAATAATTTATTTCGTAAAGCATAATCACATATGACAATAGCGGAATATAATGAATTAAATAGTTGCATTCAAGATCAAACACGATATGGAGGCACGTTATTCATTCCTATATCAACTGAAACGAGAAGTACGAGCACCATGCAATATTCAATAAATCCAACGCGCGTTACAACATAACTCTTCGACGTTATCCTTGCACACAATCAATCACCACCATTTTTATCACACGAAGAGTTGTGGCGATAAATCAATCCCATTCTAAAACCGTAAATGATATTTTGATGTGGTATGTTCTGATCCTTTGGATATGTTTCGAACCGCATCAGTGCTCATTGCAACGCCCAACTGAACCTCTTGGAAATTCCAAAAAAGTTTAAAAAATTTTGTGGAATTCTTCAAGACTTCATTCATCTGTGGAGGAAATTGATTGTGCTTAACCAAGTTCGGATGATTTTTCCATTAAAAATTGAGTGAACAGTTCCGAAAAAGTGTCTAAAGTTATTCGACGTAGTTGCAATTGGTTTAGTGTTATCATCATTTCAATCGTAAAATAGGACAAAGTCATCATTTTCTTCTAGAATAAAGTGTTTCAGATTCAAAATTCACCAATCAATGTGAGCATTTCTTAGGTGAACGAATGCTGAAGATTTTAGTGTTCGGAACTGCTCTCTGAAAGCGTTTATATAGAGATCTACATCTGCATGACATCCACTCAACATTTGGGTGTATCAAATATTTGGGTTCCGTTCGCACCTCACAATCTTATCTTTTATCAAGATAATTCACAATGAATGCTTTCGATACGTTGTATAACAGTCAAAATCGTTCTCAGTCAGGTGAGCTGTCATGCTCCTTATAATGAATGAGCGAGTTGCACTGATATGATGCGAGAGCAACTCACTGATATGAGGTGCCGAATCAACTGAACTACTATTGCTGAGCAGTTGATAGGACTGCGAGCAAGTTGGTTCACTGTAATGAAATCTTGATTGACTGTCTCTCTTCACTGATAACTTCGCCACCAGATTTCGTATCGATGACGAACTCAGCCTTTCTTCTCGTTCATCTAGCTCGCATTCCTCACTTTGAACCGTTAAATGTTCGATGATGCTCGTAACAATCTCCGATTTTGATGAGGCATTGTGCTGGAAGTTTTTGAAATTATCAAATGTAAAGAGTTTTAGATGACCAATGAGAATAGATAGATACAGCGCTCAGAATATACGTTAACAAGTTCCACATGAAGTGGAAATCGCTAAGTGTAATGTTACAATAAGCCTCAGCGTTTCATAGGTGAACAAATGTTGCGCAATACTTAAATCTGCTCCAATAGCTATTGAAATGACATGCAAACAATACTTTCGCTTCTTGTTGATCCTGCTTCTCACTTATCATTTTCACAGTACATTGAATTTCTTTTGTATTATTTTTTTGCAATTATCTTTTATTTTTGCAATTATCATGTACTTCCAGGTAATTTTGTAATTATGCTATATTTAGTGAAACATTTCGTAATTAATAGGCTCAACGATGCCATGCGAAAACTAGATTTTTTGATGATATTCTTGTGGGTACTGGGGATTGTTCCACAAGACAGTCGAAGGTGTTATGAATGAAGAAGGTAAAATTAGGTGGATGTGAAACTTGATTAAAATGAGCTCAATTCAGAGATGGTCGAGACTGATATTCAATCTTGCTTTCAGGTGATATTTATTTATAGATGGGATTAGCCTTTTTGATGAGGATGATAAGTGTGAAAGATCAGGTGCTGTAACATGCATTTGATATATGTATTCCCAATTGTTTACCAACCTATCACTTTCACCAACGCTAACGTCAGTGAAAAGTGACGGTTTGTTCAGGTCCATTCCCTCGTAATTAATTAATGCATGAAGAAACACATCAAAGAGAGATAAGACAGACTCAGAAGGCGTTACGAAAATTCGTAAGTGAGTGTGTGCATACGTGAAGTGAGAGTTATTTGATTTCACAGCTTGGAAATAATTTGCTCATTTTGACGATACTTCATGGAATTGAGACCCATTGATTTATGACGAACATCATTGGGGAAATAGTTTGATGCTGAGGTGTTTGAATCGATCAATTTTGTTCGGATTACTGCTATTCAAGTAAAATTTCGATCGTAAAGGAAATGAATTGCAATATCACTCTGTTCGGCATCGAAGGTCCACAGAATACCGAAAATAATCATGGAAGCGAGAATGAATTATGCTGTCAATGAATTATGTCAAATGAAATCATAGTTGCATGCATGAGAATGACTGCGTGAGGCACCCTAGAGTGGAGGAATGAGTGCCCGTATGGAGGTGCTGAAGGCTAGCACGACTCGATACAAGGCTAACCTCAGCAATAGTTCCGTACCGTTTCGATTCAGGTGACCTGATCGCTTGCCTCATCGTTTGTTGCTGCGTCACGTTTTTACAATCGATACCCGCGTCTGCCAACGTTCCATTTCTCATTAAACCACCACATCTTTCGAGTCGATCTTGTGAAGTTAAAAACGTTGGCATGAGGCGTATGAATGCAGCGCGTAGCTGAGGGTTTAACACAGCGTATAGCAATGGATTCCATACCTAAAAATTGTTCCTTATAATCTGTAAACCGCACTTTTGTAATTCCTGTCGATGAACTGATTCACGTTCCTTGTTCCATTCAACGAATCCGATCGATTCAGATGGTTCACAAAACTTCATACGAACTCCTCCATGAATGTTCACTGAACGCCATGGCCTAGTCAATATAGATGAAAGATTCAATTGTCCGTCGAAAACCTTGAGATCGTTTTGAAAATAAACAAAAATTTCTGAACGAATGCAGTAAATATTCAAGTGGAATTACATACAGTTGATGTCATGGCTATGCAGTGCGTTGCAATGCCGTAGAAATACTCCTGCACTTTCATCCATTCTGGCAGTCTATCGTAATCACGTAACACATTAAACAACACACTCCATAACCAACTTGCTGAGAACGCCAAAACCATGCTAATCAACATACGATTCGTTCGTTGTCGTCTTTTGATGGCTGCACGTTGCTATAAAAACTATCACTCGAATGTCACATATAAACAAATAAATTGTTGATTGAGAATTTATTTGTTCCATAGAAAATCCAATCACTGTCGTGTTTAACGAATTCGTTGAACTCAGTGAATAGTTGATAATGAATTTTTCATTATTCATTCAGTAAATTGCATCTACGCATGACTCTAATAAATCTGAATGAATATTTTGAGATTAGAGTGATGTGACAATTATTTATCAAACACAAGCAGCAAAAGTGCATTAGTCAGACGCAATATATGTCGTTCTGAGAACACAAATGAACAGAATGGAAAATAAATTGGCGAAAAGCATGACATTCGTTGTCAAATCAACTCTTCTGCTGAATCAATTCATCGAAAAAACTTTTAATCTCAGTCGATTGAAGGATGGATTAATTGCTTTCTGCAAACTTGTTTTAACGAAAGTATCTATTTCTGACTTTTCCGAGAAGTAAAACTAATCAAATTCATGCAGCATCAGAAGTTCAATGTAGGGTTAGCAGATTCAATACAAACTAACAACCTGGTCAGTGATCTCCACTTGCCATTCGTAGTTATTCTTTTTTCCTTTGACTAGCATCCCCTGCAATCGCAATTCATTTCTCAAAAATGAAATTTCAATGAATCATCGAAAAATCACTTCTCCATCAACCTGACTTCTCAAAATGTGATTCATAAGAGTCTGCTGATGAGTGCTCATTTAACTGTGAACGTTCACGTTGTGAATAACAAACAATCGTTAGTTTTTCAGGCAACATATTCATAGGTAGGAAGATTAGTCAACCACAGTTGAAATTACTTCAGTGAGCACCTCTTTTAGGCATGCGAGAAATTTTCGAGTGCGTCAAGCAACTGATCTATTTGCAAGCGTATTGAATCAGAAATTAGCACATTGAACGTGCTCAACTGTTATGAATGTCCGCAGTGAAAAGGATGCAAACCTGTCCGAGTTTGACGGCAATGGCCGTATAGCAGATAATAATAATGGTTAATGGAGCGACGAACTGTACGCACACCATCACAGTACCATACACACGTCTTCCGCTCATATCAGAACCCCAATCTTCGGCACAAAATTGGCCACAAAAATTTTCGTATGTTTGCAAATGTTGTTTGAGCATTATGGGTGCAGAAAGGCAAGCAGCCATTGTGCAAATACTCTGAAATTTTTATCGAGGTCATGAGAAATTCCACCCGTTTCTCGGAGTACATTTTCACCACTCATAAAGACGCAGACATTTGCGTTTACGGTTGGGAAACGGAAAAAATTCAACGTAGTGGAAATGGTTGATTTTGACACGAACTTAATCGTAGAGAAGTAGACAAATGCTTGCCTCAAATCGCAGACATATGATTGATTATGGTATCGCGTAAACACCACCAATCAATTCTCAAGGGAGCAGTTCATCTTTTTTTTTGCAATCATGGTGTGCAAGAAGGAAAGGATTCTGTATTGTTTAAATCCAGAGAAATGCTCATCGACTGAAACTGCTAATCAAGGAAGAATGCAAGAAATTTCAACGTGAAACTGTATTGTGACCTTAAAAAATGATACATTCATAATTTTGGGAATTCGAATGAAACACTCAAAAACTGAGACTGCAATCTGAGATGAACAAATCCATTACAGATTTTTTTCTTATTTCGTAACCTATCGTGTATATTGTTATTGTTACTTGGACATCGAGTGATTGTTTTGTCAATCGCTGTGAGCGATCGACAGAATATTTATTTTATTAGAGTTATGATTATTTATTGGATTGATATTTGGCTACGTTCAATTATGCAAAGTATTCACGGCAACTATTTAATTACTCGGTTGTGTTCGGTTGGCCTGCTCCGTTAGCCAGCGGAGTGGAGTAAATTGAGGCTAAAACAATACGCACGGAAACGCGAGCATTGTGGCCTGCAACGTTACAGACGTTTGATAGCCTGGCCAATTCAGGTAATCCAGGTAATCGTGTGGATGATTACGATGAAACCATTGGCAAATTTGTGAAGTTATTGACTATGATTAGCTCTGATTCAATGCATTAACTTTATAATATTAAAGCTATAAAGTTGGCAGTGTTGCGTTAAATCTAATACTGAAGTTCAAATAAAAACGTTGACTTTGAGTGAAATCACGAAACTCTGAAGTGTTGGGTCGAACTGCTCAGGAACATTGGCTATGCATTTCGTGTACATCTATTGAGCCGTGCGATACGTTAGAATGGAATGGCCTTCTTTACATCAAAAAAATAAATAAAAAAATTGTATCTTTTTAAGGAACATGAATAAAAGAGGAAATAAAAAAGATGAGTGAAATGGAATACCACAATGACAAGTAGCGCGTGCGGTCTTGTCAAAGCTTTTTTCATCGGGAAACAAATGAGCAGGAATCGATCGACTGATATGGCCGTCAATGTGAACGTTGAGAAGCACAGCGATATTCCCTGAAAACAAAAAATTGCTAGATATAACATGACTTATGAGCGAATCACCTCATCTCTTCATATAACGTTTATCTGATTCTGCAGAAACTGTTCTGAACGCAAGGCAATTGTTCTATTGTTCCGTTAACCAACTAACCGTCTAACACGCAAAGGCTTCGAGCAAAGTACCGAGAAGAAAAAATGATAAGAAAGCGTGAATGAATAATCACACGATTTAAGCATTACTGAAATTCTTACAATAATAGGCAGAAAATGAAGACAATTTATCGATAGAGCGAATACATCTGGAGATTAGGAATCACTGCAAATTGGAATATGTGATTCTGTATGTGCATCGGTAAAAAGACTCAAACTGTTTCAGAAGTTGACTGAACGGATTGTATTTCCTCACAAACCGACCACCCCTACCAAAACAATCAACAGTGTGCTGTGGTTGGAGAACAAGTTTTTAGAATTCTGGAGCATCTGGAGCCAGCTGCGGACAAAANAAAATTTGATTTGCATGCATAATTTTAAGATTAATAGTAAGAATGAAGGTCCCCGAAAAAACGAATGCTTAATGTACAATTTCAAAAGATAAGTGCTGGCACACGGAAATATTATGCACTCATCAACATATGATAGTATTTTTATTTTTTGGTCACACTCAACCACAAACCGTTGGTCCGTTGGTCAGACTCAACCGTTGGTCACACTCGACCGGAAACTAAGCAGATTAAGATGCTGCGTTCTGAATTCAACTGATCTGTCAAATGATATTTTGTTTGCGCTTCTCCAACACACTGAAATTCGCTCAATTTTGTGGAACGGATTTCATTTATTTTGTATTGCACTGATTTACCAACGATCAATTTCCGTACCCTCAGCATGCTCATGTTTTTCGCCTAGAGTTCACACTCAAGAAGACTTAACTGCTTCAGCTGCGCTTTTTTGAAACGAATTAACGTTTCTCCTCAATTCAAAAGGGTTCAATTAATGATGTACTTTGCACTGTGCTTTTAAAATCTGACCGTCCAATTAGCGTTTTAAAATCTAACATACTTTTTGAGGTGTGAGAATAAAATTTTATTGCGGAAGAAATTGCAGAGTCGAGACAATACAGTTAATGGACGCAGTGATTTTATAGGACTGCTTCCGGATCGTCAATCGTTGTTTTCGTTGATTGCAAGCTTATGAATTGGTCACAAAGTTTTTGAAATAAGCGACGTTTAGCTATTTTCTACTGACCCAATTCGAAATTCAACTTCAGTGCATTAACGCTTCAGTAATTTCAACAGACCAACAAACATGTGCATATGAGCATCGATGATCATTCATAAGCGTTCACATAACTGGGAACATACTAACCCTGGTTCAGTGCATTTGAAATGAGTTAGTTTTCTAGCAATTGGACACATGAAATTTGATGGATTATGAAATAACAATTGCAGTTTTTATGCAGTGCTCTTTTTTTGAAAGTATGCATGAATCGAAGCCGTGCATATCATTAACGCCTAGTTATTGATATTATTAGTGTATACCACTTGGCCTTATATGTTCTATCGAAACCGTGCAACATCTGGGTTATATACTGAACTGTAGGGAACACAAAAAATACGAATGAAACTGGCAAATATGCATAAACCACAACAGCAGTGAGATGTGATTGAAGCAAAATTTGATAAGAACAGACTGAATGAGGATATTTGATATGAAAAGAGAATGATGCTCGGTAACAATCAAGTCAACAAAGCAGTCACATCTCACTGCCGCTCTGCTTCATGCGCATTTGCCAGCTTCATTCGTATTTTTTGCATTCCCTACTGTTCGGTATCTCATGAATAGTACTATAATCCGGATGTTGAAAGGTTTCGATAGACCATAAAAGGCCAACTGGCATACACTGACAAATTAGGTTGATTCAACGGTACTGATGTCGAAGCATTTCACTCATAAAGCTATAACGAACCGCAATGAAAGGTGCGATTGAGCAAAGCGTCGCACCAAACAACCATTCCTTTTTAAATGCTGTTATCGGTGTTATTGTTGCAGATGTGCAGCATACGACCACATCTGAACAACTCAGTGATAGAATGAATAAATTCGGTACTGTTTGCAGTGACCTGAAAATCAATATTTCTTATTCACAGTCACGTTCTTGTCATTTTAATATGACGTCTTCTGGTCTTCCGGCACTGAGCAGCGCTGGATTACTTATCTCAAAATTGATGTGCGCATCAATAGAAGCACTTCATCATCTCTCTAATAGATTCTCAATGACCTTGAAGTGCACTTGTCGCCACTTCATTATTTCCACAAATCTATCTTCTGTTGCACTGTTGCAGATGACAAGCAACATCCTAACTGCGCATCAAATCATCGATACTTTTGGATTGGGAATAAGAGAAATTCTTCATGTATCACTGAGTGCACCATAAAGTTCACTAAGTTTTCCAACTCCAGATTCGTTGAACTAAGAATTTCATTGTGTACTAGTGAAATCATCTGATTTCATGCATGATAATGCAATAATGCCATCGAATGTAGAAAAAAATTACTTCTCACATTTGAGCGGACGTAGAATTCACAAAGTATTCCAAACAACTTTGAAACATATCTCCTCGTTCAAATCTTATGAAATTTATGCTCTTTTCTAAGCGACTAATTTCAACAATCAAACGAAAAGGTGAGCATCGAAATGACGTTGGAAGAGAAAATAGTTAGAAAGAGTTAAGCTGATAAGTTCACCTTGTCCTTGCGATAGCCAAGATAACACAAAGATTGCCGAACGTTCCTAGTATAATAATGATTGCATAAAGTATGGCAAATACAGCCATTGTGGCTGGCTGCGTGGTGAGATCATGTCGATAACGCCATAATTCAGCATTCATATCCAGACAAGATTCATTGTTCATTCTAAAAAGACTTCGGTCGCACACTGTTATGGAAAACGTACGAACAAATAATATCACTCGAAATCGTCAAAGTACTCACGAAAGGTTTTCATCGAATTATTCGACTGACACGTGTACACAAAGCTCATACAACATAACATGAATATTCTATAAGCAGCAGCTGCCACAACCTTGCAAATGAGGGCATGCACTTCACAATTGCTTACTCATAAACTGACGCAAACCATGGAACGTAGCCTACGAAAACAATGTAATCGCGTATGAGGACTGAATGAGGAGATTTTGATGATGCAAGATGTAAGTAACATAAAAATATGAGTGATCATCCACGAAACCAAAGAAAAAATGTAGATGAAACAAAGCTCCGGATAATGGATCGCGCAATGTTTGGTTTCTTATCATGATAAAGACGCACCAAGCATCATCCCAAAGACAACGATTCACCGAGATTATACAAAATTTTGAAAGAAACAAAAATAATGATGATAATTTCAAACGCTTGCACCCGAATTTTTCGAGTCAAAATGCTTTTAAATGACAAATGCATTGACATGTGAGACGGGAATGAATAAAGCGATTTAGAGGTAAATGTCAAATATATTCACATTTGTTCGCTTAGACATCAATACGAGCACCTAGTGAAATGTGAACATTGGCTACTCCGACTGAGCGTGAAAACGAAATAAAGTGAACTGTACTGCTCTGCAGACGAATAAGTACATTCGACTTTGATTGAACAACAATCCGTTAATTTGCATTCAATTCTTAGTTTTGACTACAATTCGAATGATACATGAACAATTAGTGTCGAATGTATTCTGTAAAGCAAATACTTGAATTAATGCACCAGCTTCAACAGGTAAAAAATCCCTTCTAGGGCGTAGTCTAGCAACATAAATTGAATAGAAGATTCACGTTGAATGCCGGGATGATATGAAATAGATGTTTGATTTTCACATTGTCCTGCTGCTGCTGCAAAATGTTCAATCAGACGACCGGATGAGACTCATTAAGCACTGAGCTTTTGCACTTAACAATAAGTTATTTCGTACAAGAACACTCACGAGTTGAATTAAGATGCGGTGAATTTTCAGATACTAAATTATTTGAGAAGCACGCCATTTTAAGAAGAAGTTGTGCGGAAACGCACAATTTGAGAGGAGCAGATACGTTCGTATCATGAACAGAACTGAGTGTTGTGTCAGTTTGTCGTGTGATTATATTTGAATCGTTCACCATGGCATAAAAAGTTGAGAATTATACAGCATAAAGGGTCGGTAATGAGTGTGAAACGAAATACAGAACGGTTTTTATCACGGATATCAATTAGCTTATTACACAAATCCTTTCGTAATTTTCGATGAACCTGACAACGCCTATACACCACATATTGTTCATCTGGTATGATGCGATTCATCATCAGGCGAAAGCAATGGAAAATTGGACTGACTGCTGGAAGTCAAAGAAAAAGCGCTTTACATATTGGAAAATGAAAAAAAATAGGCAATCTCCAAAATTCGTTCTATTCATTTCCAATTAGCACAACATTCAATCTGTCAATAACCACGAAACATAATCGTAATAACATCAAATTTGAAATTGCTGCAAATTCGTTCGGAAATAACACTGATGATGAGCGACTGCCATTATGAAGTCTGCGAATTTTTTTTTGAACGAATACGGTTGCTGTCAGAATTTATCAGTGAGGACGTAAGCATTGAATGCGCCACCTTGTAATGAAACTCGTATGTACGTTGTTTGCCGTAACTCAATAACGTATTCATCATTAGCCCACACATGAACGCATTCGAAAGTCAAAACCTACATAAATGCACCAATACCTATGCAAATTGTTAGCATGTCATCGTCATTCTGCTTTGATAGAAACGTAATAAGTTGATCCATTTTTCATACGTTTGCGAAGAAGAACATGCCGAATGCTTCGATTTATCAAGAAACTGGAAGAGATTCTCGAGCAGATAATGAGTCGATGGATTTTAATGCATTTAAAGTCTGATTGGAGTATAGTATAGATTTTATGCGATAAGAGCAATCAATTCTCATAGAATAATGAGGTTCATACACTGGTGCACATATAAGTAGGATCTGTATAGAATTTCTGACCGCGGATGCATTTGAAATTGCACGTAACCTTTAAGACAGCGACGTTCGCTCACCTTTAAGACAAACGAAAAATGGTAACACAAATGAGGACATGCGCACTTTAGTTTATCTACACGGATGGCAGTAAGTGCTTATCCAAATGAAGACATCTTAATGCTATCCATAAGAACAATTCTCTTCTAATGAGTTCGCACGAACGGTGCATAAGCGTTGTGAAGGTGTGCCATATGCAGTGAGTAGAGTGCGAAGAAAGCGTTCAGGAGTAATGAAAAGCATTTGCAACGATATACATTATCAATGCATCATTTCGCCATATTTCTGATGAATGACATGCATGCATATTATAGAAATGCTTTCAGGAGTGATTCGGGCTGAATTATTTCCATGCACGTTTTTTGTGCGTTAAAACACTTCAATAACACCTCGTTTTTCATTAATTTGATACGAATTGCAATGAATCGAGCGCTTATTTGAGAGCAGATCGGACTCAGATTGCGTGATGTGGTGCATTCGAAAGCAGCACGTGGTCCAATTACTGGATTGAATTCGAGGAATTGAATTTACCGACCGCATTATCCTCAGAAAAACGCAATATAGAAATACTTTACGATTTCCCCACATAGATGAGCATCTTCTGGAGACCATCCCTGATTATCGTCATCCTCATTCTGCCATCGTATCAAGTAAAACATTGTTCTGTCTCATACAAATCGCATTGCACTTGTTTCATATACCAGGCTTTCTCAACTGAGGGTGCGAAATAATACTCCAGGGAGTACCAGATAAGGTTTTATTAGTTATACATTGAAGTAGGCGAAGACGGAGTTCAACGCAAACATGAGCGTAAAATAGGCGAGGATGAACTTTACCATCTATATTTTCGAAACGGATTGAACGTACTCTAAAGACAGGTACCCGGACAATCTGCCCAAAGACGTTTTGCCTAAGGACAGTTTGCCTAAAGACACATTGCCTAACGGACAGCTTGCCTAACGGACAGTTTGCCTACGGAAGGTTTGCATATTAGGCAAAATATCCATGAAAAAAATGTCCGTTAGGCAAACTGTCCGTTAGGCGAACGTTCCGTTAGACGAACTGTCCATCAGGCAATGTGTCTTTAGGCAAACTGTCCTTAGGCAAAACGTCTTTAAGCAGATTGTCCGGTCACGTAAAGATATATGCTACAGGCACTCGCTGTAGTGGATGAGAGATAGAGAATGAATATTGTGGGGAGTGCGAGGACATCATAAAATTTTATGTGGAGTGCTCCGGGGGAGGGGGGGGGGAAGGGGAAGGATGATTGAGAAGCACTGTCATAGACCACTGCATATGTCACTTATCAGCAATAAACAAGTGATAACATCAATTAGACGTGTCCATCGAATGTTGTTTGTGATTTGACATCTTAAAACAACATATTATCATTATAACATCTTAACATATTGTAATATAATGGTATATGTTCTATTATCAGTCCAATGAAACGCTTGCTACAGCATGAAGGCGGCCATAAGTCTGACAGCACTGAAACATATTGCGGATTCATTAATGCTTAACGCAGCGAAATTTAAAAAAAAACATTACGGCATTTGTTCATAATATTACCACATTAATCAGCTTTATTATCAATTCCTCGATTCCTATTAGCAAAATTGATAGGAGTGAGAACACATTCATTAAGCTAATGTTACTCAGTGATTCTAGCAAATGATATAATATTCAAGTTGTTGCTGCAAAAAAAATCAGATTCTTCATCCACGCGAATAACTGAACAGCAGTAATGTAATGTTTCTGCTCAACATCTATGAGCAATCATACCATATACCATCCACCAGAACAATGCATTTTCAACGTCATTGCGTTCATCAAGAATCACGTTCATTGAATCTTTCACGAGAAGTGTTAGTCACTAGAGGATTCAATTCAGTCAAATGAGAAAAAGCGAATAAGAATAGCCTAAACAGAATAAAAGAACAAGTGCCGATGCATTATATCTCGCGTGTATAAGTAATGAAAATTTGGAGGTACATCATCGAAAATGAAACAGTAAATTCAACTTGTTAATGATGTAATGAACGGAACATGTGAAAAGACATTCATCACGAAGAGTGATCTGCTTTAAATGTAGTCTGAGGAAGGATATATTTGGACGCATATATCCGACAGAAACCAGTCAATCGTCTGAAGCGTTTGTTTGTGGTTATCATAAAACTGATAGATATAAATCATGGACATGAATGAATATGTTCACATCCATCGCATCACAACAAGGCGGTCAAATGAGTCAACTGGGAAGCGAGTTGAAGCACATTCATATTGTGTGAGCTCTTCAAGATGAAGTGTTGTGTTATGGGGCATGTTATATTAATATGAGGCGGATGGAGTGTGGTGTTAGCGCGAGGGACGAAAATAAGACTGGCTCAATAAGTTGGCAGCATTTGCGATCACTTTTCTTGAATGCATTCCCCATATATCACCTAACAACTTCCTGGTGGCCATCCAGGCGAATCAGACAGATTTAAACTTATCAAATAATGGATCTCATAAATAAACGAAATGAAAACAAAGCTGCGCTGAGCAATCACGCGTATCACCTAATGTTGCACCACTTGATCGTGATGCAGTATGATATAAACAATAGCCAATATTACGTCGGAACATTTTAATTGCAGTTTGTCTACTCAACTGCAATACAATTATTTCAAAACATTTCAATTAGACGCCATGCAAAAAGAACGAACTTCTCCGTGATCCGTTAATGCAACATACGAAATATGCAAAATATTAGCACACAAATATTGGTTCTTTGATACTTTTTGAATGTGCTCTTGCGTTCATTGTCGAATTTTTTACAGTGATACATACGTCTTTTGTGCA